TTTTTTTAGGTGGTTACCAAGGTTCCATTTTTATTGAGAAATACACTCAGAGAGTATCAACATATAGGCCTCGATTGGTTAGTTACAATGTATGAACAAAATCTAAATGGTATTTTAGCTGATGAAATGGGTCTTGGCAAAACTATTCAGACTATAGCCTTATTAGCTCATTTGGCTTGTGAAAAGGGTATACTATTCATTGTGTATTGAAATACTCTAATTTATTGTCATTGTCATTGTCTTTTTTTTTGCAGAAGATTGGGGTCCTCATTTAATTGTAGTTCCTACATCTGTGATGCTTAATTGGGAAATGGAAATAAAAAAATGGTGTCCTAGTTTTAAAATTTTAACTTATTATGGTTCCGTTAAAGAAAGAAAAAATAAAAGAATTGGTTGGACTAAACCGAATACATTCCACATTTGTATAACATCGTATAAATTAGTAATAACTGATCATCAAAGTTTTCGCAGAAAGAAATGGAAATATTTAATTCTAGATGAGGCTCAAAACATAAAAAATTTTAAATCTCAGCGTTGGCAACTCTTACTAAACTTTCAGTCTGAAAGAAGGTTGCTATTAACGGGAACACCTTTACAGAATAATTTAATGGAGTTATGGTCTTTAATGCATTTTTTAATGCCAAACTTGTTTGCATCTCATCGTGAATTYAAAGAGTGGTTTTCAAACCCTGTTACTGGAATGATTGAAGGGAATGCAGAATATAATGAAAATATCATAAAAAAATTGCATAAAGTTTTAAGACCATTTATTCTTCGAAGATTAAAATGTGAAGTAGAAAAACAGTTGCCAAAAAAGTATGAGCATATCATTATGTGTAGATTATCTAAACGCCAGCGATATCTGTATGATGACTTCATGTCAAGAGCAAAGTATGTTTCATTATTTTGTACGGCATTATTACTTCTTTTTACTGTTGGTTAATGAAGTTTTTTTTTTTAGGACGAAAGAGACTCTTGCAAGTGGTAATATGTTAAGTGTAATCAATGTTCTAATGCAACTTAGAAAAGTTTGCAATCACCCAAATTTGTTCGAACCTCGTCCTACTATTTCTCCATTTCAAATGGAAGCYCTAACATATTCAGTCCCTCGTTCCATATTTAACATGATGGAATATGATCCCTATAATGTAAGCATTAATTAATATGGTAGATTTCAAATATCCAATGAAATTATTGAAAAATKTATTAATATTGTTTTTGACATATGTTGTTATAGGAGATTGATTTAAGTTCTGTAAATTTACTATTTACAAACTTGGAACGATTAATGAGTGCTTGGGCAGCTCACCGTCTAAAGCGTTATCAATTACCAAATTGTGTATTCGAACAATTTGATTCTTTACCTGATAAACCTATAAGACTGCCTAAAATTAAAATGAATTTTAACATGAAGCTGCCTAAAAACTTAAACATCATTTCTAAGGTAATTAAAATTTGTTTTATTGCTATGTAAACCTCTTAGACTTAAAAGTTTTTTAATTAACCAACAGCAACATAGGTTATTAGGTATGTGGAGTGTATGATAGAGTTAAGGTTGGGAAGGTTTGGTATTCGTGTGTAATGTGAGTTGGGCACCTGTAGGGTTTATGCCATGCCTTGTTGGAGGATGATAGTCACTCTATGGTCTCTTGCATATAAAGAGGTACCACCCATGGCTGAGATTTAAAGTAACGATGCTACACATAACGTATGGTTATAAAAAAAAAAATTAGACATACTGTTTTATTTAGAGATACTCTTTAAWGAAACCCTAAATTTTTTTTATTAAAATGTCTTGTTTGGGTTAGTTTTTGATGCTTAGGAAAACTGAACATAATATTGTTACTCTTTTTGAAATGTAGATCACTTATTTTCTTCTAAATTACAACTCATCATAATCAACATTTGTTCCATCGWAAATTTTTATACTTAATATTTCTAAACTGTAGTTCTATATTGTTATTGTTTTCTTCATATTTTGTGATTTATTTTATTACACATTATATATTACTTATATGGAGATTAAGGGATTAAAAGCCTATTGTTTGATTTTAGTTGGGAACTGGGATATGGTGATCATAATTCTGTTTTAAGTTGASTTTGGTCACCCTAGCAAATGCCGAGGTCTACTCGACTACTCCATTTCCCAGTTATTAGWTCTATATTTGAACCACAAATCTGAGTTATATGATTACTAGAAATATACTTAAATTAAAGTGGTATATATTATTTTGGACATTGACAGAAGCAAGCAATGTATAAGACATTGTTTTGTGATAATTTTAGAATCAAACTTAAATATATGCTTTTACTACTGTTTTTTTTAAATTGTTTATCTATTTATTATAATGTACACAAAAATAAAATTTAAATATCTTGTTTTAGATCAATTTATGCAATCCACAAAATAAATTAGTTAATGTCAGACTTAAACATAATCTGCCAATTGTGAAATTTTTAGCAGAAAAGGGAATTAGAGGTGAGTTTCTTAACTTTTGTATGATTTTATAAATTATTAAAATTGTTCTGTGTTTTTTTTTCTTAGATTTAAAACTTAGATCTATTAATAGTAATGTATCAAGGCATTCATCATATTCAAGTATGTTGTGTAATTTTTATGTTATTAATTACTGGAATTAAATTAATTATTTCCATAATATAGATATTTTATCATTAACTCCAAAATTAAATCAAATCAAACAATATTCTAATGAAAACAATCAATGTGAACTTAAT